TTGGCAAAATGCAAAAGGCTAATATGCAAATCTTAATGCACAAAGAGATGTACATTTAAAATAATTAATAAAGGTTTTTGTCAACTTTTCTGAATCTAAAAGAAAATACACATCAGGCTGATTCGAACAAGATTCCACTTACATCTTTGGGTGGACAAATATTAAACGGTGCTGATTTTTTGTTCCTGCCCTTCCCTGCAGCGGCTGAAGATGATAGGAAATGATTTGCAACAGTTTATTGATCTTGGGTTTTCACATCAAGTCCACTCAATCGTCCTTTAATTATAAATGAGGACTATAATCGCTGTACTTCGTTCTCACCACATCCACTCTAAAAAAGTTGCATTTCGGTCAAAGCAATCATTGCTTGTAACAACTGCTATTAATAGTCCATAATAAAGTTGAAACTGATTAGCAGCTTAGTCAGTGCTTGGGATGTTAGTTTTAGAAATAATGGAATTTCCTAAAAGGATCTGAAGCTATACATTTATATACCTACTCAAGAATAAATAGTTTCAGATACTTATGTGTATTTTAGATTTTTGGAAGAGTAAGATTATTTAAGATGTATGTGTGTGTATGTATGTATGTGTGTATATATATATATCTTTTTATTTTATTTTTTTTTAAATAGAGAAGCAGATTATGTGGCCGACCACACCTTGGGTAATAGAACTGTGGTGCTGTCTAGACTGGATCTGCTATTTTTACAGCACCCACAAACCAACTATGCACATGTTTTTGCACAAATACATTTACAGGTAAAACGTTGCTTAGTAAATAAGGGATAGTTCAAAGAAAACCCCTCAGGATCCCTGTATAATAAAACAAGAGCCATGAATGTACGAATCTATTTTCTTCCTCCAAGTTTTATATCCCCTGAAAGTATTTGGTCACCTGCTTGCTGGAGGAATGAACTGGGAGTCAGGCCTGTGTCATAGGAACATGTTGTCATAGACGGATAGCCCTGTAGCAGCAGCTGCTCCTGACACTGTAATAGCAGTGTTTGTTTGGTGGCCTCACATGCACCCCACCCTGGGAGCTGCAGTCTCTGGACTGTGTTGCTGGTGGAGCCCAGGCGGATGTGAATGGTGTGCAGACCCCGTTGTGACATGCAAGGAAAAGCTCCATCACACTACACGGAGAGGAAATGACTGCAAGCCAACTGCGCGACGCCTGTGCATAGCGCCATAGCCAGCGTGAAAATGAAAGCTCCTACCTCCCAGCTCAGCGTGATGGCATCATCGCAACAAGTTCAGACGTTTGTTTTAGAGATTTAAATTGTCAAACATCATCAGCATTTGCCGATCCTCCAGGAGATGTACCCCCCTTTCGATTTCCACGCTGGACCTATCACTTATTCACTTAGCGCCAATTGTCATTTCACTTTCGTCTAAAAACATACACATCTGTATGTATGCAACGCTCTCCACCATCCCTGAGCGCTCATCTAGAATAATGTTACATTTACAGCCATCAAAATATCTTTCCTGGCAACCGTCTTTGAACACTGTTAGAGAGATCGGAACTATAAACTGCTTGCTGCAAATATTTATTTGTGTTATAACCATTTCCGCCCAGCAGAAAAGGAAAACTACTTTAGAATATTGGGATCATGGTGAATGATCAAATCAGATAAATGTGGCAAACAGATAATAGTAATAATAATAATCATTATTATTTTTATTATTAACTCTGTCCTATGATGTAGAAAATTAAAAATAAACGTGCTGCCTCAAAGACATATTTGATCTAGAAATAAAATCGAGTCACTTTTAATTTCCAGAGATTTATATTTCAGTTTGTTATCATTTATGACTCTGTTTTATATCTTTCCAGATTAGACCTTAAAATCACTTTATATTATTAGCTTCAGATCACAAACCTGCAGCCATTCTAGATTTAATTTCAATCATAATTAAAAGCAGCGACTTACTATAAACCTTGCACCGATAATTCTGTTTTGTTCTTTACATTTTAAAAAATCCACATACTTATTTTTTGTTTCCCTTTTCAACAACATCGTGAAGAAATGACAAAGTGGAGAGATACACTGTAGGTATTTGTTAAACTGGAAAAGTAAACTCGCTTTTTATTTAGGTTTGGTAAATAAAAAAAAAGTAAACCATGTGTGTAAATTAAATATATTGTTTCCTTTTAATTTTGAAAGCAATACATTGTGTGTTGGATACATGATGCAAAATGACCGACCAAGCTGGCACAGAGCTTGTCATTTTTTTTTTTTTAAGGGGTGAATATGGACAAATTAATCGATTTAGACCAGAATAAAATAAGGCAAATTAGGACTTTTTGCAATAAAATCTTTTTTTTTCTTCCAGAATACATACAAAAAATACCAATTTCTCTCTTTTTTTTGTACTGTTTACACCTTCAAAATAACGGCAATTTGAAATTATGACAAACTGCTGGTTGTTTTAGTAACAAACATGCACTGGATGTAAGATTTTGGAGGGGCTTGTACCCAAAGAGACGTTAAATAAGATACAATACAATAAAAGCAGTCATTTTTTAACTTTTTTGTTTTTGTTTAAGTAACATTAAAGAGAAAATGCGTTATTGTGTCCCTGTTATTTATAACTCTACCAGGGGAGTTTCCACTTTACCTGTCCAGAAATGCACTTTTTGACCGAGTCTGCTTGGAGCTAACATAAATAAATAACAGTGTCCATGGATCCAGTCCTCAAATGAACACCAAAATCTATTTATTTTTTTTTCCAATAGAAAATAAAAAGAAAAACAATCATGTCTTTTGTCTCCAGGGGCTGGAGTCACCTGGTAGGAGTCACTGGTATCCTAGAGCAGAAGCTGTTGTAAGTCTTTGCCCATACAGTGCATAGGGGGAGTAGTAGTGTCCTGTGGCTGCTGGCATTGGCATAGGGGCACCACCTGAAGGGAGAGGGCTCTTGGAGTAAGGATGATAGCGGCTACTACTTAGTCCCAAGGGGTGATGGTGAGGGTTGCGCAGAGTCAGATGGCTGGGTGAGGCCCCTGTGGGTGGCATGTGCATATGGCAAGCCATAGCGGCTGCGGCCAGGGATGAGGAACTGGGGTATCCAGGCAAAAATTTGTCCGGGGAGCCTGAAAAGGCTGTATGTGTCCGCAGGTGGCCGAGCAGTTCCTCGGAGCTGGAGAAGCGCTTATCACAAGGGCCTGTGGCTGAAACCCAGTTGCATACATGGGGCAAGGGGTCATTGGGAAGCATGAAACCATAGGGGTAGAGAGGGTGCCCGGTTAGAGAAGGTGGTGATACCCCGTGGAGGGCGTGGCTGGGGTACACAAGCGGGTATCCAGATTTGAGGTCATGTGCACAGTTTGCGCTGGCATTCAGCTGTGATGCGCAGTGGTAGCTGAGGCAGTAGGGGTCTCTACACAAGCTGGCAGTCATTACAGAGGGTGGTGATGCCCGTGTCAGGGGGCTGGAGGCAGCAGACTTACTAGAGCAGCCTAGGGAACTCAGCTGTGCTCCCACCAAAGAGTTTCCCTTGGTGTGGTCCAAGGAGACTCCATGTGCCAGGAACTGAGGAGGGTAGCCGGCATAGGCTCCGGCCAAGGTGCCAGGGTAGGACATGCCAGCCGGGGACAGAGGAAAGACCGTGTGACCGGGTTTGTAGGGTGACACCGGGGCCACTAGACCAGATCCCAACATGCCAGAGGAGCTGGAGGAAGAGGAGACTGGAGTCGGAGAAGGAGCAGCAGAATGGCTCTTACAGCCTGTAGACCCCTCCGAGTGAGTCTGCTGTAACTCCACGCTCAGCCTCCCGTGCGATCCGCCATCCGACGACGCGCTCTTAGTACATTGCTCCGCTTCCTTCTTGTCCGAGCTCTCCCCGGAGGATTTGGACTCGGAGGAAGGCGGCGGGGTACGGGGGGAGCTGGGGCTACCAGTCCGAGGGGTGAACGGTGGGCAGGTGGCGCTGGGCACCCGGAACCCAGACTTATCGGCCGAGCTGGACTCTTTCTTGTCCGGTGTCTTGGAGTATGGCTTGAAGCTTGACTTGTCCTCCGCCCCGATGTCACTGAGCTTCAGCGGACCGGACTTTGCCTCCTTATCCGACCCGGTGGAGGAACCGGTCACAGAAGACAGCTTGGACGGGGTCGGGTCCGGCTTGCCGATCTGGGAGCAGGTCTGAGCCAGCAGGGCAAGGGGGCTCTTCTTGGCATCCAACTGGGCAAAACAGACAAACACAGGTCAGAGAGGGCCACATTACCCCAATTACAGAAATATCCTCACACATAGTACACATATAAAAAGACATGAGCCTACAGATATGAAGATTTGTCATAATCTCACACTCAGAGGGTACAGTAAATGTTTACACTGTGGTCACTTATTGCAGTAAGTCCCCCCTAGATGTATTGGGTGCTCTCCCCTTTGTCATTATTAGAGGACGATCCCTGATCTAGTAGAAGTCAGTGTAGGGATCGTCTATCACAGCCCAGGATGAGCTCATGGCTGAGGAATTCAGGTGCGCAGACACGAGGATGGGGATGGCGGGGGTCACTGGGGGTAGATGTCTGTCCTCACTATACAGCATCGCCCAACCCTGCCTCACCCCGGACACTAGGGGGGACGGGGGATGGTGGTGGGGG